CACATGACAAATATTTGTTTGTTTGTTTGTTTTTTAAATATTGCTATATAGATTTAATTTCATTTTAGTTTTAGCATTAGTCATTCACTTATTTCAATTAGCTGCCTCGGCAACATTTCTAATTTTCATTTAAGTTTTTAAGTTTTAAGTTTTCATCTAATATTTTTTTATTTTTTTTATTTTAGCTTTGTTTCAATTACCGAAAATGATTTGTAAGAGTTTTAGTTAACAGTAACAACACTGTTATTTTATAATGTTGTTTGTGACTAATCACAAATGCAACAACAGCATTGTTAAAGAAATAACATATAACACCTTATAGCAACCACACTCTAAAAAATGCTGGGTTAAATACAACCCAGTGCTGGGTAAAATATGGACAAACCCAGCGATTGGGTTGTTTTGACCCAGCGGTTGGGTTACTGCCCAGAAGGTTGGGTTAAACCTTTAACACAACTGTTGGTTGAAAACAACCCAATCGCTGGGTTTGTCCATATTTTACCCAGCGCTGGGTTGTATTTAACCCAGCATTTTTTTAGAGTGTAGCAATGCCCTATAGCAACCACCCAGAACACCGCAGTAACCAACTAGTGACACCCTAGCAATAAACCTTAGCAATCTTTCTATTTGTCTATCTATGCAGTCACATCACTCTCTCTGCAGTACAGTGTGATTGATCTGATTGGAAGTGGGTGGGTTTTGTGATGTGAACCTGTGGATGAGGTCATTCCTGTAGAGCTGTGCCCTCCTGATCTCCATCACAGACAAAGGAGATTCAGCCCTTTATCACGCAGAGCAAATCCATTCAGCCCAAGACAATGTCCTTGACCATCCTACAGAGAGGAGCACAACATGCCTTGATTAAAAGCCACTGCGACAAACCAACCTGTGGACCACTACAGGATCATGCCACATGCGCTATTTATGGAGTATATAGTATGTATACTGCGCATAGTATGCAAATGTCACGAGTACTTGCATACATATGTGCAAGACCTTTATTTATTTGTTTATTTATAGGCTATTGGACTGCCAAAATGTATAACTGGAAGTCACTCACTGAATTAAACGTGCAACATAGTGTGGTCATGTGACAGCAACACTTTAAAATTCTATTTGAAAGTTTTTATCTAATTTTTAAACAGCATGCTTGTATTCAATTGCACACTTGTCTTGATTCATTTCCAGTGTTTTCACCACTAGGTGATGCCATTGACCGTTGTCTCGAACAATAAGAACCTGTTTAGCAGGATTTCACACTCTCCCAGCACTGAATGAAATACTTTTAGAACTGTGTGCGACGCGCTCTCTAATAACAAACACACATGAACAGATCCATAAATGTGAAACTGTGATTATTCAAGTTGCAGGCTTTATCGGAATCAGATATCGGCTACTAAACATGTAATGAGCTCCAGACCAGTGTCGCCAAGTCCGGGGTTTTCCAGCGGAATTGGGCTACCCAGGGGTGCCCAAACTCGGTCCTGGAGGGCCGGTGTCGTGCAGAGTTTAGCTCCAACTTGCCTCAACACACCTGCCTTTAGGTTTCTAGTATGCATAGTAAGAGCTTGATTAGCTGCTTCAGGCGTGTCTAATTGGGGTTGAAGCTAAACTCTTCAGGACACCGGCCCTCCAGGACCCAGTTTGGATACCCCTGGGCTACTTTGACACTGGGTTGAAGCGACCCCATTAACTTGATAATTATCCCCTGGGATTCAAAAACCTGCCAAAAACTTGTATTTTAGGGGTATTTTCGCCCCGGAACGCGATTGGGCCAGTTTTGGCCTAGTTTTGAGTAGCACTTTGGAGGGTTTTGTTGTGAAAACCTGGCAACCCTGCTCCAGACTTTAGCGAACATACAGAGATTAAGAGCATCAACAGCCTGCAGAGTTTAGCTCCAACTTGCCTCAACACACCTGCCTTTAGGTTTCTAGTATGCATAGTAAGAGCTTGATTAGCTGGTTCAGACGTGTCTAATTGGGGTTGAAGCTAAACTCTTCAGGACACCGGCCCTCCAGGACCGAGTTTGGATACCCCTGGGCTACTTTGACACTGGGTTGAAGCGACCCCATTAACTTGATAATTATCCCCTGGGATTCAAAAACCTGCCAAAAACGTGTATTTTAGGGGTATTTTCACCCCGGAACGCGATTGGGCCAGTTTTGGCCTAGTTTTGAGTAGCACTTTGGAGGGTTTTGTTGTGAAAACCTGGCAACCCTGCTCCAGACTTTAGCGAACATACAGAGATTAAGAGCATCAACAGGTGCTGTTATAATAATAATTATATAAATGGAGGATAAGGGAAGGTAATGAGACCATATTTGTACCTCAGCAGTGGAGGGAGTTTTATGTTTCTTGCGTGAGAGCACTGAATGAAGGACTGGGCTCGTCTGATATTATATTTCTGCAAAATAATCCCTCATTCAAGGCAAGCCTGAGCAAAGCCGACTTGAAATGAATTAAATGCAGCCAGTAAGAGTTTGAGCAGACTTTTGAGTAGCACTTTGGAGGGTTTTGTTGTGAAAACCTGGCAACCCTGCTCCAGACTTTAGCGAACATACAGAGATTAAGAGCATCAACAGGTGCTGTTATAATAATAATTATATAAATGGAGGATAAGGGAAGGTAATGAGACCATATTTGTACCTCAGCAGTGGAGGGAGTTTTATGTTTCTTGCGTGAGAGCACTGAATGAAGGACTGGGCTTGTCTGATATTATATTTCTGCAAAATAATCCCTCATTCAAGGCAAGCCTGAGCAAAGCCGACTTGAAATGAATGAAATGCAGCCAGTAAGAGTTTGAGCAGACGGAGTCACTGCTCTCTTAGTCTTAAATAAACTACTATGCAAGAGTTTAATGTATTAATCATATATTGATCGTTTAGTGTATCCTGTGTGAGAATATGAGCAGTCAACTCATAGAAAACTCACCACTAATTTGTTTGTTGTCATGGAGGTTCTGCTTAAAACCACAAACACGTGACCTACAGCAATCCAACCTACACTGTTTAAGGCACGTTATTGAAATGTGTTCTGCATTTCCTGCATATGAAGTAAAGTATGTTAACCTGATGAATGTGTTGATTACATCCATTAACGTGATATGAAGATAAATTCTGAATATTTTCTCAGCATACGGATGGATATTTAGACGATCAAACCTTTTGCTTTTGCTATCAGGTCGTCTCGTCTGAATCAGGGGAGAAATCTGCACAGATCAAGTGCCGTTTGCAAACCAAAACAGTTCTAAACAAATATGTGGGTTGGTTTCGATGTGAGAGAAAAACAGGACTTTTTCACTGGAGGAAGTGTTATGGACTAGTATTTTGTCCAGAAGCACCGGTTAAGTTAAAACGTCATAATGATGGATTTGTTTCTTACAAACATGCAGCTTTCCCTCATTCAAGGCAAGCCTGAGCAAAGCCGACTTGAAATGAATTAAATGCAGCCAGTAAGAGTTTGAGCAGACGGAGTCACTGCTCTCTTAGTCTTAAATAAACTACTATGCAAGAGTTTAATGTATTAATCATATATTGATCGTTTAGTGTATCCTGTGTGAGAATATGAGCAGTCAACTCATAGAAAACTCACCACTAATTTGTTTGTTGTCATGGAGGTTCTGCTTAAAACCACAAACACGTGACCTACAGCAATCCAACCTACACTGTTTAAGGCACATTATTGAAATGTGTTCTGCATTTCCTGCATATGAAGTAAAGTATGTTAACCTGATGAATGTGTTGATGACATCCATTAACGTGATATGAAGATAAATTCTGAATATTTTCTCAGCATACGGATGGATATTTAGACAATCAAACCTTTTGCTTTTGCTATCAGGTCGTCTCGTCTGAATCAGGGGAGAAATCTGCACAGATCAAGTGCCGTTTGCAAACCAAAACAGTTCTAAACACATATGTGGGTTGGTTTCGATGTGAGAGAAAAACAGGACTTTTTCACTGGAGGAAGTGTTATGGACTAGTATTTTGGCCAGAAGCACCGGTTAAGTTAAAACGTCATAATGATGGATTTGTTTCTTACAAACATGCAGCTTTTTGCTTGATAAGACATTAACTGATGGACTGGAGTGGTGTGGGTTACTTGTGGATTATTGTGATGTTTTTATCAGCTGATTGGACTCTCATTCTGACGGCACCCATTCACTGTAGAGCATCCATTGGTGAGCAAGTGATGGAATGCTACATTTCTCCAAATCTGTTCTGATGCACAAACAAACTAATATGCATCTTGGATCGGCTGAGGTTGAGTAAATTTTCAGCAAATTTTCATTTTTGGGTGAACTATTCCTTTAAGAGACCACTGCATCAATTTGCAAAAATGACATGGCATAATTAACCAAATTATTAAACAAATGATCATTATCAATCATTTTAGTGCAGCATCTATGATCTATCTCAAAGCCCAACTGCAAACTAGCAAAAGAAACTGTGGTCAGTGTTGGAAGGAAAAAAATGTGATGTACTGAATGACATTTTTTATTGATCTGTAAACAAACACAATTTATCATTAAAGTAAAGAACAATAAAACAATGCAAGATTAATGAAACGGATGTAGGAGCTGAAAACAGAGACGTCTAGAAGCATCTGCTCTGATCCTCAGGGACTGACGCTGGACTCCAGAGAGACAGATGCATCAGAACATGGAAGGTTTTTTTGTTTTGTTTTGCGTTATTTCATTACAAAATGCACAGGACAGGCTATTAATATTTATTAATTTTGAATAAACCTTTATTTAATATTTTTAATTTTAACTAGTTTTAGTTTGTTTTAATATTTTTATTATGTACTTTTGACATTTTATTTGTTTTTTTTGTTATTTCGATGTAGTTTAATTTTTATGTCCGTTTTAGTTTCAGTAGTTTTAGTTCTTAAAGTTAAACATTTTTTAATCTCAGTTAATTGCAACATTTCTAATTTTAGTTTTTCATCAAATATTTTATTTCATTTAAGCTTTATTTTAATAAAGAAAATGGTGTCTATTCATTTTATTTAACAACAACAGTACTGGTCTACGTATGACTTTCTTTACAGAACAAAACATGCTAATTTGATGATCACATGTACAAACATTTCTAAATAATTTTGGAGCAGATAGTGAACAAGCATCATCAATTGTCCAGTATGCATGTGAAGTTCTTCAATAGTATTTAAAAAGCATCCCAGAATTCACCATGATGTGATTTTGCTCCTCAAATGTTTGTTCAAGTCAATTTTAGGTTCCTTAAATTACGGTTTTATTCCAGCTATGTTAATATGGACCCTGAGTGTCACACTCAAGATGATTAAATCAGATCAGAGTGTTTATACTTTTCAATAATAGCTCAGTCCAGATGTCCCGGGACAGGAGGCACAGCTGCAGTCCGTATTCATAGATCCAGAGACGTGTAACTGGGAAAAAGGTTCATTAGAGGACAAAGTGCATCTCTGATATGAGAAACTACTACTGGACAATGATGAATTCTGGGATATGTGGCTTCTCTGACTGTGATTCATTGTATATGGGCTGCACAGTTCTGTTTGTGACTGAATGTCCTGTGGGTGCTGCGATACAGGTGGATTGTGGATAACACAGCCATTCTGAACACAGTGGGATCTCTGCAGGGTTAATGGGATGGCATGCTGCTGCGGTTGCCATGGCGGCAGGGTGCCTCGGTGAACAGCATGCTGGATGTTTACGGAAAACGGCCGACTGGGGACACTTTGAGAAAGAGGATTGTTTTGGGATGGATCTGACAACACCATGCCAGTCTTTTCTATAGAGGAAGAGTGATTATTATGAAATGGGATGGAAAAATGGCCTGGAATAGAACTACAGGAGTTTGGAGGATGTGGGAAAGATTTCAGAGTGCCAAAAAGGTCCAGCGAGTCATTTGCACATTCTCTTTCTGGTGCTTTTTGCCCGTAAAAGTCTGATTCTGTGAGCTTCTGTGAATGAGATGATGAATATTCGCATCTCATTATCGGGTTGCCAGGCAACACAGAGTTTTGTTGCCGCCCAGTGGTGTCACTTTGAGATGTAGGACCGTTTAACATGTTCTGGCTGATGCCTCTGGCTGAAGTCTCTCTCAACAGAGCGTCTTCAACATATGAGAAAATATCATTGGCCAGAATGTCATTGAGTTGGATGGGTTCCTCTTCCTGTAGCTGCAGTAGAGCTTCTTCCTTTTCCTTCAGCTGCTCTTTAAGGACCCTGTCATCTATGTCTGGAGAGTCTGGCATGGCCTGGGAGGTGAAAGCCCATCGGATGCTGTTGGGAACGCTGAGCAGGGCATGGCTGTCCATGAAGACGTCCTTCCGAGAGAAGTGAGATGCTGGCTCCGGGGGCCGGTTGTAGACGGAGAGGTCTTGACTCAGTAAGGAGCCCAGGAGGGAGTCGGGATGTACGGCGGTGCTGGATGGATGATCCTGCAGCCCCGGGATCATCAGAGAGGGGGAGGTTTCGTACAGGAGAGCCTCTCCAGTCGCAAAGTTGAAGGGAAGCTGCAGTTGCCTTTGAAGGAGTTGCTCCTCGCCTTCTTCATTTCTACAGGTTCAATAAAATAGTGAAACTGATTGTTTTTATAAAAGCATACTGATGCTCAAAGGGCTTTACAAAAATAAAGCCTTAAATAAATCAGGTTGGCCTATAAAATATATCAAACTGATGTTTGGGTGAATCTCACCTCATACACTCTAAAAAATGCTGGGTTAAATATAAAAAAATATTAAAAAGGGACAAACCCAGCTATTGGGTTGTTTTGACCCAGCGGTTGGGTTGTTTTGCCCAAATCTCTTAAAAATTTCCATTATTCTTAATGATGTTTAAGAATTTAGTATTACTAATTTAGAATTTATTCATTATTTATTTATTTTATATATATA